AAATTTTCAAGGCAAACCCTATGATGGGGCCCTCTATTGATAAAGTAATTGGCAAGTGGTTGGGCGGGCCATAACCCAAGAGTGTACCATGCAAGGTCTCTACCCATCTTAACTTTCCAATTTATCAAAAAAAATATATATATATTCAGCCATGGCCATTAAAAGGGAAGAAACACAGTCAGACAGAAAAAAAAAAATTGGGTGAAAGTAATAAGAAATGATTTAAAGAATCACAATTTTATAATATAAATTAAATTAGATGAATTCATATCTATTGTTACTTCGTGTTTTGTATTCTAACAAAGGACCAACTTGTCCATGTTTAATTATGGCTCATAGAAAAGTATTGCAACCGCAGTTGCAATCCCTTAGGTTATGTTTGGTTTGAAGGAAAAGGTAGGGAAAAGAAGAGAAAAGTAGAGAAACTCATATAAGGTTTGTAAAGGTTTCCCTACCTTTCCCTTTCTTTCCCTACTCTTTCCTTCAAATCAAACACAGCCTTAATTAAACATGGACACACCAGTGATGGAAAATAAAAATAAGGCAGATCAAGTGATGTTTTGAGTTTATTTCCATCTCCAGTGTATCCATTTTCTCATCAGATAAATGGTTTATTTCCCTCAATTTGCTGAGAGCTGTTAGCTGACAAAAGATAGAAAACCCATTACTTCCTCTTGCAAGAATACATAGAGACAGGATCCCGAATTTTGGATATTGAGCCATATTTGTAGATGTAAATTAGAAGATTTCACATCTGCAGTGACTTCCCTACGACCCTCCAATTAAATACAGATGTCTGATGTTTTGAATTCTATCAAAAGGACTGGCTTGTCCATGTTTAATTATGGCTCACAAGACAGTAGGTTGCAGAAGCAGCAGCAGCAGATGATGATGAACCAACATTGACCCCCTAAAATGGGAGAGAGTACGGTCTCAATACTACCTTGCTGCCCTCAATGAAACATGGAATAGCACATCAGATGATGTTTTGAAATTGTTTCCATCTCCAATGAATCCCATTTTCTCAGAAGCAGCAGATTAATGGTTTATTTCCTTCAATTTGGTGAGGACTCTTGGCAGACAAAAGATGAAAACCGGATTAATTACTCTCTTGCAATATCCATATCAGTCCTTGACTATCACCATGTGATGGGCTGTTTGCGTCCTCCTAGCTCCTTGGTTTTCTCCTTGCACAAGTAACTCAGCTTTTCCATTAATGCACAATAGCCCAAAGTCGGTGTCATTTACTCCCAACAGCATTTTTTTTCTTCCTGCTCAGTCAATATCTCAAATTCTGATCATTGAATGATTGACATATACATAAATTGAACAGATATTGCACGGTGACTCTGTTTGGTGGACCCTCTCCACTCCTTTTCTTCCTGTATTTCCCATAGCTGACCATTAACCATTAAATAGCTAAGGCCCATCTTACTTCCGCAGTCTAGGATTCCTTTTCCACTAGAGTAACTGCTTAGATGCATCTCTGCACCTCACCTTATGGAAATAGAAAGATCAATTTCTCCTTTCTGGGTAGAAAGAGTCAAAACATCCAACAAATATGTAGAAGATCCTGATCACAAAGGAAATGTGTCTTAATTACTCACGTACAGATGCTTTGAATAGAGCAACCGCAATTCAGTATATATGCAACACGTTAGTTGGTAACAGGGGTGGATTCGAGCCAAATATTTGGCTATTCGAGCTCTTCTCGTTGAAATTGTCTTAAGCTCGAGCTTGATCTTGATTCAAGTTAGAGGCTTGAGCTCGAGTTCGGCTCGGTTCAAAGCTCACAAGTCCAAGCTCGGCTCGACTCCAGCTCGACTGCAAGTCAAGTTTTTTTTTAAATAATTAAAATTATACAGATAAAAATATTTTTTATTTTACATACAAAAAATTATAAATTATAAAATTTATTTACTATTATACCTATAAAAAATAAAATTATATATACATATAAAAAATGCTTTTGTTTTACATACGAAAAATAAGAATTATAAAAATTTACTATTATACATAAAAATAAAAATAAAAAAATATACATATATGTATATGTATATGTATACATATATGTACATGTACATGTATGTATGTATAATAAACGAGCCTATATATCAGGCTCGAGCTCAGTTTACCGGTTCGTGGCCACCCCTAGTTGGTAAAACAGGTTTCTTATTACAAAGTAAGCATGTGCAAAATTGTTTGTTACGCCAGATATCTAAACTGGTAAGAGACTATTCATCAAACAATCTTCTTTAATCGTTATAGTTAAAAGTTCAATGTTGAATATCTACACCAGTAATGGTTATGGCTATGACTAGGGGTGTCAATGGACCGGGTTTGGGTTGGATCCTATCCAAATCAAAACTAATTTGAACAGGTTGGACAGTCCAACAAGATATATATTGAATTGGACCAGTCCAGACTAAATGGTCCAAAGTATTTATTGGATTAGATTAGACCTAGTCCATCTGTAATGGATTTATATTGGATTAGGTTGGGTTAAACCAATATCTGGTCCATTGATAAGAGATAAGAGTAGGGGTGTCAAGTTTGGATTAGACACAATCCAAATTAAAACCAATTTGAACGGTCTAATAAGAAATTAAATTGGACCAATCCAGTCCAAAATATTTAACAATTTGGATTGGACCTCATCCATCTATAATGGACTCATATTGGACTAGATTAGGGTGGACCAATATCCGGTTCATTGACAACCCTAGCTATGATTTAAGCATCTCTCCTCCAAGAAGGCAAGCACTCTACTGACAGACACCTAATCAAGTTGTCCATCAACTTGGAAATAAAGGTTCAAAATTTGAATATAATACGGATTACATATTCTTCAGTGATGTCCATTTGTGTTCACCTCTACCTTCAAGAGTAGAGAGCCTCCGCATAAGATTCAAAATATCAGTATCATGTATCTTTATGGGTAAGTTTGAAAAAGATACATATAGTGATGCGCTTTGGATATACATAAATATAAATATGGTGAAAGATATGGATATCTTAAATAATTGGATATCACACAATAATTTTACTAATGATAAATTGTTACTTATTTAATGTTTTTCTATAAATAAGAACTTTTTTTCTTCAAATGATCAATATATTTTGATTACTTGGTTAATGAGAACGAAATGATTAATTAATAACTTACAGAAAAATATAATTTTCATTTAAAAATATAAGGTCCATCAGAATTTCTAAAAAAAACATAATATGTACTTCAGAATTTTCAATTAGTAGTCACTAAATATTCATATAATTATTTTATTATTTTTTATTTATGTGAATAACAAAAATTAAGAAAAAACATCATTTTGACAAATTGTTGTTGGACCAATGGGTTTAATAAATAAATGATAGAAATCATTTAAGACATAAAATAAATTGTTTTTGTAACTTTCATATTTTTCTTTTTTGGAAAATCCATAAATCTACTAATATCATAAATCTAACCACAAATCACCATAATTTTGCAATTGAAATACCAAAATACATGGATCTACTAAACATACTCTTCTTGACTATGCAATTGGGAGTCTTGGGACTCTCTCCAATGAGCTTAGGAGACAATAATGTAGAATATAGGACATAGGAGACAATGACATGACCAAAAGCTCCAACACATGTTAAAGACTAAAAACACAAATTCCACCAACTCGGACAATGTCATACACTGGGGAAAAAAATAAAGATTCTATCAAATAAAACTCAATTTAACATTTTATCGGCCAATACAATGCCATACATGTGATACTATACAGTATCACATTATATCGGCCAATACAATCTAATACATGCAATATCATGCGGGCACAGATGGAATGCTTGGCACCTTGTCCAATCCACCCATGCCACAGCTCTTGGCTTGGATAGCAATACAGTATTCCCTGTATCAAGCATAACCTATCAATATATTGAACCTTGCCTCTACCATATTCATTATTCAGTAATCAATTTATGAAGAAAATACTTAGGGTTAGATAACAGCTGAAGTGGCTGATAGGTTATGCTTGTTTGTTTGTCTTTTGAATGAGTTTTGGAGGTTGTACACCCCTTAATGGCTGAAGCTGAAATTTGATAGATAAATATACCATTGATGATTATTTTATCCATTAAAAGACAGCAATAAATCTTTCAATTTAGCAACTTCAACTATTATCAAATGACCCCTAAAACTGCTTTTGATTTGATAGAAAATAAGAGAGATATAGAGAATTGAGGAAAGTTTTCAAGGAATTTTGCAAAAATTTCTTAATAAAATTTTGGTGTCTAAATTTAACAACCTGGACCATTAATAGGGCTCTCTGCTGCATGTCACCTTGGTTCATACAAATTCCTTGTAACAGTATTAGTGCTGATTGCTGAATGAATTGTTGAGCCCAGTTTTTTTTTTTTTTTGATAAATGAGAGGAATTGTTGAGCCCAGTCGACAGTCCAATTATCAACCATGGACAGCCAAAGTTAGTAAAATTCCTTAAAAACTTTCCCTCAACTGTTTGTTGAGGCCCATAATATAGTTACTTTCCGATCAAATCAAATATAGCCTATGTCACTCATATTACTTTTAGGGTAAATTTTCAATTAATACATGTACTTTGGGCCTAGTGTCATTTTGATTTCCAAACTTTAAAATGTGACAATTTAGTATCCAAATTTTAAAACATGTCAATCCTGGCATTTGAAAAGATACTACATTTTGCATTGGGTTGCATGCATGGGGTGTTGGGGAAACATTAAAAAGCGTTCTCAGAAGGTATTTCCATACGGTGTTTAATGCACTGTGTTCAAAATTATATAGTAAATTATTGTATAAGTGTTTTTTGTGCTCAACCATCTTATTTTATTCCTGATATCATGATTCAACTTTAAAGCTTGAAACGCAGCAGAAACAAACACCATGTCAGTTTGCAATTTAGATATAGAAGCAAACCAAATATTAAGAATAAATTAGACAAATGTATTAATGGGTAAAACATATAATTGGGTTCTCCACACAAAAGATTTGGATGATCCCTAATCAAACAACAATATATACAATTAAATTCATGGTTCATAAAAATGATGGAAGATGCATTAAAGCAAAAACTATCATATTTCATTTCTGGAATCCCCTGACACACAAGAAAAAGAAAAGCTAAGGTTTGCACAAGAACATGCGTTCCTCTCCCTTCTCCGAGTACAGACTACAGAATGGTAATATACCAATAAAATGTGCAGAAATACTTCAATCTAGAAAAAGAAGGCTACCAGGACCAAGGAGGAACTATCAAATTTTGGTACAGATTTACTTGGATTTATCACTTAGGGTCACTAGAGATCTAAGCACACCTGGACTGATCCTGTCAGCAAGAAGCCCTTTTTCTGAAATCCATAAGGATTTCTCCTTCATGTAGCTCTGTAGTTTCTTCGTGTCATAATCAAGATGTGCTTGATCTGCATTACACCATAAGGGAGAGATCTAAGAAATCCACAATCTATAAATAGCTTAGAGAAAATGCATATAGGTCAAGTTTTCTCTAACTAGGCTTGTGACCTTAACATAACTGTCGGAAAGAAAGTTACTCCCTTTTTTTTTCGGATATTTAAAGAGTAATTGTATATTTGTATTTTTATTCATTAGTAGAAGAGACATGAAACCATATGTATGTATACCCACATCACACCCACCCACCCTCACAGACACACACACATACGAGGGATTGAATCCAGAAATAACAGATTGTAGAGTGTAGACAATCTTCTTCAAATGTTATTTAGTACATTGACCTTTTTTGTTGTTGTTTAATACATTGGCCTTACTAACTTAAGAGTTTCAGAGTCATTTTCCCAGCTATGGCCATAAAAGTCACAGGAGATTTCAGAAAATGTTGCCCTCCCCCTCTTTTTTTTTCTGATCAACAACTAGCAACTTTCATTATATAAAGGAGAAAAAGATACAGAGATACAGATTGTTGCCCCCACATTTCTAAGCAATGTTGTAAGACTTGGACCAGACTGGCTGGTCAGACCGTGAGACCCAGGAACCAAAGACCACTCCAATTTTTCAAATTGGTCAAAATCCGGTGGAACCATTGAAAACCAGCCAGGCTCCAACGATCCAGCTGGTTTTCATGACCCACCCAGGTCACTAAATTGTTACAAACTTGAAAATGATAATGGAAAGATTCTAACTTGAAACCCCTTAATCATGTATACATGCTACCATCAGTCCAAGAGATGCAAGTCAGACCAAGTTAGGTTTTGCTGAATGCAATAGCTTTTCAGTAGGCTGTGGAACCAATAATAACGCTCCACACCAGTTATAAAATACATGGGACCAACAAACATTCAACCCCTCATTATGGGCCCCATGTATTTTATCACTAATGTGGGGCATTATCATTGGTTCCACAGCCTGCTGAGCAGCCAAAGCATTCAGCTAATCCGGATTCCCAAAAACTTTGGGCTGGGTTAGGATTGAGTTGGGTTCAGGTCAGGCTCAAGTTGGGTTCAAGTTTGGGTTGGCCTGACTTCTCAACCTCCTTTTGTCAGATTTAATTATTTCCTCAATTCTAAGGGTTTATGTTAATTCAATATTTAGCATTATATGTGTAAAAGAACATTGTAATCAGGTTTTAGGGGAAAAATTTCCCTTTTGAATTTAAAATTTTTGACATATAATGTACGTGCATACATATATGGATAGATAAAAAGTATATGCATCAATATATACATACATAAAATACTTGCAGCAAAAAAGAAAAAAACATAAAGATGCATGGTTGCATATACAATACATGCATGACACATAATATACACAAGTACTTGCATAAATAAACACATTTATATAATATTTATACATGCAAATATGAAGTTAAGTCGGGTTGGTCAAGGCCTCAACCCTAACAGCTTCAAACCACCTTACAATGAAGCTCATCTATCTGATCGGCTGAAGAGTCGAGGAAGAATATGGTGTCATCAGCAAACTGGAGCAAGGGAATTTGGTCTCT